TTGTTGTGAGAGAAGCTTTTAAGCTTCTCTCACAGTTTTTAAAACAAGCTTTTAAAGAAAGCTTTAAAGTTTCTTTTAAAACATGTCTTTCTGTATTTAAAAGTACGTCAACTTGTGCATATTTGGAATCTTTTTAAACGAATAATTTCTTATTTTTAAGATCTTTTTTCTTGCTTTAGATGACCGACTTCAAATATCAAGTTCGCGTCTGCCTACTTTATGACTTCAGCTTTAGATGACCGGCTTCAAATATCAAGTTCACGTCTGCCTACTTTATGACTTCAGCTTTAGATGACCGGCTTCAAATATCAAGTTCGCGTCTGCCTACTTTATGACTTCAGCTTTAGATGACCGGCTTCAAATGTCAAGTTCACGTCTGCCTACTTTATGACTTCAGCTTTAAATAACCGACTTCAAATATATAAAGTTCTGCCTACTTTACGACTTCAAACTGGTCAAAACAGTCGCGCAATCCCATCGAGATTTGGTCAAAGCCTTTGAGAATGATGTATTGTCCGAAAGCCGATGCTGTGCCTTGTTCCAAGGCTTTCGGAATGGTGCTGAAAGTCTCAAGGATGATGAACACTCTCGTCGACCTCAAGCTGTAGACAAGGATACTTTGAGGGCTGCAATCGAATCAGATCCATGTCAAACGACGCGTGAACTTGCTCAACAGTTTCTATGTTCAAATTCTACTCGAGAAGCATCTCCATGCCATTGGAAATACGATCAGATGCGGGAAATGGCTTCCTCACGAGTTAAGCAGTGCAAACGCTCGTTTATCTCCGAACAACCTAATACTTTGAATCTAGGAACCCAGAAAATTCGTTATAAAAACATCAAAAATTAAGTCATTTCAATGAATAATCCAGATCACACGCAAAAATGCATATCTTGATCTAATAAAAAAGCTAAATAAATGGAGGGTTTTTTTTCCAATTCCAGCAATGGGTAATTGGGTTTTCTCTCCATTGGTCTGCCTCCAAAAGCCTTTTAGTATTCCGCATAACTAGTGGATAGAAAAATAGCACATTAAGCACAAAAGTCAAGCAATTACATTAGAAAATGAAAGACAATTTGAGTTCACTGGTCGATTCTGAAAGTGTGATGAGCTCAGGATAAAGTTAGCAGAGTTGCGGGGAGTTTACTCTTCTCAAAGCAATTCTTCATTCTTTCTATTAAAAGTACTAAATTCTAAACTCTGTAAATTGTTAAAGAAAATGAATGCGATCCGTGTTTGGATGAAATGACAAAAAAGTCAAGCCAACTAAACCAAAGCCAATCTTTTCCTGGAACTTTTCCTGGATTTGAGTTAGATTAGCCTAATTTAGCTTAAGATTGGCTTGGATCTTGTCTTGGCTTGGATATTGGCTTGGCTTGGATCTTGTCTTGGCTTGGATCTTGTCTTGGCTTGGATCTTGTCTTTGGCTTGGAGTTTAGTGATAACAGATCAATGAACTCTGGAAATTAGCTTTTTTTGTTAACCTGTTCATAGTTAACTTTTTGAGTTATAATAAAATTCAAACTAGTAAGGCAATGAAAACTTTTGCAATGTCAAAAATGGAAGATGAATGAAAGAGTAAAGAATTTTGGGGGGATTTCCGGGGAACATGCGAAGCGGTGCATCGATGATGAGAAGAATTGTGTGGTTGGAAAGAGGGGGGAAAAGAAGAGATGGACGTGTGTTTCGATGTTAGTTCGAAGGGAAAAAAAGGATGATAAAAAGGGGTACTCTGATGAGGAAGATGAAAAGAGTTTTCGGGGAGACTATGGAAAACTCTTGAGGCGTCACTTCTTCTTTTGATCGGTCTGGATTCTGAATTGTTAAGGCTGACAATGGGAGTGTTTTTTCTGGAGATGGAGTCATTTTTATAAGTTGAATAGTGACTTATAGAACGATTGACGTGTGCTTTGAGTTGAAAATGAAAACGAATGCTTTCTGGTGCATTGGAACCGTTAATAAAGATGGATTTGAGTGGTGAAAATTCGCTTTTGAATAAAAGATACTTATTTGAACTTAAAGATACCCTTGTTTATCACTAAATTGACTTCTGAAGTAGATTCTGTGCCACAAAACTCTATCTATTACAGTTAAATGACTATTTTTCACAATCTGGTACAGTTAAATGGCTATTTTTCACAATCTGGTACAGTTAAATTACTATTTTCCACCATCTAGTACAGTTAAATGGCTATTTTTCACAAGCTGGTTAGGTTAAATTACCATTTTCCACAATCTGGTACAGTTAAATTACTATTTTCCACAATCTGGTACGGTTAAATTACCATTTCCCACAATCTAGTACAGTTAAATGGCTATTTTTCACAATCTGGTACAGTTAAATTACTCATTTCTTAAAGAAAGTAACTCAGTGCACTAGAAAGAGTGCTTTTCATTTCTAGCATAAAGTAAAAGTTAAATAGTTTGTCAAGAATTGAAGCAATAAACTAAACATACAAATTACTCAATTACTTAGCAAAATCATAACTTATTAAAACAAGAACATAACAAAATGAATCATTTAGAAGTCTGAAATAAAATAAAATCCCATGAGAGTTAATCCCTTCTCAAACAAATCAATAAAAAGACAATTTTTTTGCAAAAACAAGCACCGGAAATAGGGGATTTAATCTATAAAATCAAATAAAAAGACCCAAGTCTCGGGAATCTAGGGAAAATGGCACGGGAATGAAGTTAGACTTGACTTTTCTTTCTCGGAAATCGAGTTGCAACACAGCAACACAAAGCTCAAATTTCATCAGTGATCTTGGGGAAAATAAAAGAGAAAAAAAGATGAAGATGAAGAAGATGACGAGGAATGTAGTGCTTTCAAAATACTATGCAAAATTCATACCTTTTCGGAACATTTGTTAAAAGCTTTGTTACTGTTAAACCCACACAAAAAGGTTACAGGCTTAGGGGGCGCAAACCTCTAGGTTGGCAAGCTACCTAGAGGTTTGCGAGAAGTATTTCTTCTGGCTTTTTGGATTAAACTGATCCAGCAAACTCCAGTTTGATAGTCTAAACGCAAACCACTGTTAAACGGCCCACACAAAAAGGTTTAACTTGGCAAGTTACCTAGAGCCCTCATAGCCTAGTGAATAAGTTTTCTGTCTACCATCTGCATTTCTGTCTGTCACAAAATAATGATTTAAAAGTAACGAATCACTTTCTGAGAAGTATTTCTTCTGGCTTTTTGGATTAAATTGATTAAATTAAACCAGCAAACCCCAGATTGATAGTCTAAACGCAAACCATTGACGATTTAACCATTTGACTATTTTTAAACCATTTGACTATCAAGGTTCCAAGTTTCCTTTTGTGGAAATAGCTGGAGAAAGTAGATGGATCTTATTGAGAAGATAGATGTCTAGTTGTAGCTTTTAAATGATTGGATTTTGATTTACACCTTTAAAAGATTTTGTTCAGAGTAGAAACGATTTCTTATGAATCTTTTCAAGTTGTCTTTACTTACTAGTAAAGATTCGAGTTCAATTTTTACTTACTAGCCTAGTGCAAATGTATTTCCGGTTTTTTATAAACTTTGTTAATGTTAAACGGCCCACACAAAAAGGTTTAACTTTGCAAGCTACCTAGAGCCCTCATAGCCTATTGAATAAGTTTTCTATCTACCGTCTGCATTTCTGTCTGTCACAAAATAATGACTCAAGATTTAAAAGTAACGAATCACTTTCTGAGAAGTATTTCTTCTGGCTTTTTGGATTAAACTGATTAAATTAAACCAGCAAACCCCAGATTGATAGTCTAAACGCAAACCATTGACGACGACGACGACCATTGACCGTTTGAATATGTTTAAACCATTTGACTATCAAGTTTCCAAGTTTCCTTTTGTGGAAAATCCCAAATATAAGGAATTAAAGAAAAATTAAAGATTTTTGACTAACAGAGAAAGTGGTTAGGTTGTCAATGAGCTTCATTTACATAGTTTTAGATTTGATTAAAAGAAAAGGATTTAAAGGTCCAGCTAAGAAAGTGAAAAAGGCTTTTAAGCTTTAAGCTTTACTGCGAATTGGATATTTTGCATTGTAAACTTGTCAATAACATAAAATTAAATCAAAATCCCATTGAGCATTGAATCAAGTGACGTTTGCGGAATTCTCTAGAAAGCCTTCAGAGACCAAAGCGAGTAACCGGACACCCATGTAGACACTTGTTTTTCAATACAAACAATCAACGAAAGGATTATCTAGGTCTTGATGTGGATGATCAAAGAATGGGTAGGAAAGGTGTTGGGTAAAATCTAGCCTGTACTTTTGTTTTTCTCTGGCAAACTTGTTTCATCGTTTGGCAGTATGTTGCAGTAACACAAAGCTCAAATTTCATCAGTGATCTTGGGGAAAATCAAAGAGAAAAAAGATGATGACGAGGAATGTTAAAAATACAAATATTTTTCAATACAAACAATCAATGAAAGGATTATCTAGGTCTTGATGTGGATGATCAAAAAGTGGGTAAGAAAGGGAAACTTAAGTTGGGTAAAATAGTACTTTGTACTTTGTTCTTTGTTCTTCCTGTACTTTGTTTTTCTCTGGCAAACTTGTTTCATTGTTTGGCAGTATGTTGGGCCTCGAATGTGTCTAGAAGTTTGCGTTTGTAGCAGCACAAAGTAGAGATTTTACTTCTTGTTAGATCAAAGTGCAATACTGAAAGCTTAGATCACGAAGAATCGATAAAAACTACACTTTACAACTCATAAACAAAATAAAAACTATACTTTACAGTTTTTCTCAATAAATACTCCAACAAAAACAACACCAAACACAATTCATTCTGGAAAAGAGGTACAATTTTAAGGTACAATTATTCCCGAGCAACATTCTTTCAAATTTTTTTGAATCACGACACTAACTTGAGAAATATCCGGAGAGAGGTGATCACTTTGGACTCAAAAATAGAAACACACTCTTTCTGATCGACTCCAGAAAGAATGGGTTAACTTTTGAGCTTGAAAAGATGAAAAGATGAAAAGATTTACCTTGACAAAGGCATTGTCTGAAGAAGTTGATCCAGACGGATGAACATTTCCACCGAAATCGAAACTTTTCCCATTTTTTGTGTCACATGGTCGTGGTGTTCGATAATCTTCGTGTTCAACTGATGGAGCTGAGGCAATCGTTGGACCCTAGAGAAATTCTTGTTAAAAACTAGATAATCTTTAGATTTTACTATCTAACTAATCTAATTTTTAAGTTTCTCCACTTTTCTTTAGCTTCTAAAGCCTTGAAGAAGCTTAGACTATTTTTGATAACTTGAAATTTTGATAACTGATAACTGATAACTGTTAGAGATATGGTAACTTCTAGATGAAGTTAGAGATATGGTATCTTCTAGATGAAGTCATGGATTAGGTAACTTTTAGTTGAAGTTAATGATATGGCAGTTACTGTATCTATGAATTCATCTAAAAGTTACCATATCCATGGCTTCATCTAAAACATAACATCTCCACGACTTCATCTAGAAGTTACCACATCTCTAACTTCATCTAGAAGTTGTTCATAGATACAGTAACTGACAGGCACGACCAATTATGTTCTACTTTTTGCTTTGTGCTCGAAAGCCAAGGTTAGTTAAGACCAAGATCAGGCTCAAGATCAGTTCAAGCCAAAGATCAGGTCAAGTCTAAGCCATTTAGCCCAGGCCCAGGCAACCAGGCCAACTCATCTTGAAATTTATTGAAAGCTAATACCAGTAACCTTTATAAAACTAAATCCTATGATATTTTTATATTATATTTTTATCCATTAACTAATCCACTCACCAAGCTTCCCCTTTGCCGAAAACTTTTTCGCTTTTCGAGTAAAAATTTTCGATATGCTGACGATTCGATCCCTTGTCCAACCTAAAAAAGAACGATCTTTGATTCATTTGAGAGGAAATTAAAGTAATTTGAGATTTTCCGATAAATATGGAACTTTTTGCAAGCAATTTCGTCAGTCAATTTCCTAGATGAAAACGTTGATAAAAAGGATAAAAAGGAAAGAGTTAGCTTTAGTAAAAAAATGGGTTTTGTTTGCAAATGTTGGCAAAAAAATGATGCTTGATCTTTGGAAACGAATGGGAAACTCTTAAACGAATAGCTCTAACCTAATTTACTATTAAATTATTGTGATGATTTCAAAGAGTTAGAAATGTAATAGCTGGAGTTCACAGTAACTTCCGGAGAATGATAGATGTCTAATAGCTTTTAAATGATAACCTTCTGCAGAAAGTTATACCGTTCACGGTCAAACTTCTGCTTAAATCAATCATTTGAAAGGTTATTTTTACCAGATTCATCAAAACTAGACCTATAAATATTTTCTGACTATTTACAAATAACCAAAACCATTTTTTCTTTATTTTTATCTTTCCAACCTGTTGCGTTCTGTTTGGAGTTCTTGGCGGGGCTGCTAGAGAGAATTGTGGTTGTTGATTACATAAAGATGATCTTGAAGAATCCATCTGCAATAGAAAAATGAATAAAATTAGATGTAGAGAGAAAACAAGATAAAAACTATTAAAAATATAACACAAGGAACTTTTTAAAATACAAATAATCAATAGAATCAAGTAATTAGGATTTGTTTACAAGTTGGTAAAGGTTTTAAATAAGATACCGTATTTTCTCTAATAGTAGTGCACCCAGAGCGTCGCCTAAATTGCTTGAAATCTCGAAAAGCGCTTATCAGAACCTATTGATGTGGGGTCGGAAAATGTAGCTGACGATGAGATCTTGTGGGGGATTAGAGTGCTGAGCTTCTGTGAAAATTTTGGAAGCCGTAAAATAGTCATCAACTCGGCTCGCCGGGGTGCACTACTATTAGAGAAAATACGGTAATTATGGAAATTCCTAGAAGTAAACGTAGTCATCCTTATCAAATTTCGGTCGGTTCTCGTCCCCATCATCTTTCCCTTTATCATTCTTTTGCGAACCGTATTAGTATGGTTTGGAATAAGCTCCCGTCTGGCATCTTCTCATCTGTAGGAAAATTCAAAGTATCTATAAAAGAATTAGATCTTATTGCCATGCCAAATCTGGCCAAATGTGCCAATATGTTATCATTTTCGGAATTTTCAGAACCAAGTTCGCACTGTTGCCTCGCCGACACTGCCTTGGTCCCAAACTTTGTTAATGTTACGAGCCGTTTCATCTACATTGCGACCGAGTTTGAACTCATAAAAGAAAATCTGGCGAAAGTTCGTTTCGGAAATCTAAAACGGCGAAGCTTAAAATTCGCAAAAAATGTTATTTTTAACAAAATTTAAAAGTATGGTTAAAGAGAGCACGAACTCGGCTTTCTAATGGTAACATTACAAGGTACAGAGCATACTTTATTGAGAAAAATGTCAAAAAAAGAAATAGGAAAAATGCAGCCTGAGCATCGCCTAAATTCCTCGAAATCTCGAAAAGCGCTTATCAGAACATATTGATGTGGGGTCGGAAAATGTAGCTGACGATGAGATCTTGCAGATGATTAGAGTATTGAGCTTCTGTGTAAACTTAGAAACCGTAAAATAGTCATCAACTCGGCTCCCCGGGATGCACGGTATATAATCTCTTAAAAAAGACTGAATAAACTACATAATTTATACGTTATTTCACATAAAAATAGAAAAATCTCATAAATGATTTGCAAATTGAGTTGTTGAGTGGGAGAATTGATCGAATGGAAACAGTAATTAGTTGGAAAGGCTCAGCTCTCCATTTCACCTGTTTTTTTTGACATGAAAAGTTTTATAGAAACATTAAATTTAGAAAAATATTTGTAAAATCAAAAAAATAGAATAGATAAATAATATTTTTGAGGGTAAATATTGGTAAAATGTCCTTTTTCAAACAATCACGTCATTTTCCCCCCTCTCCTGAAAATCCCAGGAGGTTTTCCGCTAAAATTAACACAAAAAATTGCTAGAATAAGGCTGATTTTTGAAGATTAGCTTATAATAGAATGCTTATCTGCTTAGCTGAAAGTACCAAAGGTTTTTGTATCAAAGAAGCAGATCAAACGGTTTAAAGAAGTGAATTTAGATGATATTTAAGAAGCTGAATGACTAAATTTCAAAATTGTCATGTAAACAAAATAAAAGTTCTAATGTTCTTTCAAGAAAATGATTTAAGAATGTAAATCAATGAATATTTACTATTTAAATTAGACATTTCGAGTGTCCTCCCTTTGCCCCTTTTTCCAGAGTCATTTTGCGTTTTTCTCGATGCACAATTTATCAATTGGGTTGTTTTTGATTTGATTCGATGCGTCTAACTCTCATCTATCCAATGAAACCAAAAACAGCAAAATTGGTAAATTGTGCGTCGAGAAAAACGCAAAATGCCTCTGGAAAGAGGGGCAGAGGGGGCGGGAGAACACTCGGAATGTTTCATTTAGATGAAATAGTTATATCCAGCTATAACAAACGACTTTCGTTCTTAAAAATTACCTTTGAATATTTAAATTTATAAAATTTCCAATTTCACTTAAAAACCTTAGATTTTTCAAATTAGAATACAAAAATGTACTAAAAACCCTATGAAATGTCATTTTGTATTTAGCTATAAGATTAAAAGCTTTCTTTCTAATGGATTGAACTTTCGTTTTCAGTAAAAGATCGATAATAAAGGTTACAATCAATTCTTTAGAATACAATCAGTTCTTACAATCAATCAATCAATTGAAAGCAGTAATTTGATTCATTTCTTTAGCAGTAACTAAAAGTAATTCAAAAATTAAAAGCTTTCTTTCTAATGGATTAAACTTTCGTTTCCAGTAAAAGATCAATGAAATTCTTATAATAAAGGTTACAATCAATTCTTTAGAATACAAAGCTTTTTACCTTTGAATTACTGCTAAAGAAATGAATTAAATAAGTGATTTTAATTGTTTGATTGATTGTAAGAATTGATTGTAATCTTTATTATAAGAATTTCATTGATCTTTTACCGAAAATGAAAGTTCAATCCATGTACTAAAAACCCTATGGAGTGTCATTTTGTATTTAGCTATAAGATTAAAAGCTTTCTTTCTAATGGATTGAACTTTCATTTTCAGTAAAAGATCGATAATAAAGGTTACAATCAATTCTTTAGAATACAATCAGTTCTTACAATCAATCAAACAATTAAAAGCAGTTATTTAATTCATTTCTTTAGCAGTAACTAAAAGTAATTCAAAGATTAAAAGCTTTCTTTCTAATGGATTAAACTTTCATTTTCAGTAAAAGATCAATGAAATTCTTATAATAAACATTACAATCAATTCTTACAATCAATCAATCAATTAAAAGCAGTTATTTAATTCATTTCTTTAGCAGTAATTCAAAGGTAAAAAGCTTTCTTTTTAGTAGATTGAACTTTCATTTTCAGTAAAAGATGAATTAAACTCTTATAATAAAGATCACAATCAATTCTTTAGAATACAATAAATTCTTCAATCAATCAATCAATCAATCAATCAATTAAATTTGATTCATTTCTTTAAGCAGTCATTAAAAGTAATTCAAAGATTAAAAGCTTTCTTTCTAATGGATTAAACTTTCGTTTCCAGTAAAAGATCAATGAAATTCTTATAATAAACATTACAATCAATCAATCAATCAATTAAAAGCAGTTATTTCATTAATTTCTTTAGCAGTAATTCAAAGATTAAAAGCTTTCTTTCTAGTGGATTTAATTTTCATTTCTAATTTGAGTTAACATTCATGCAAAAGATGTAAAAGGCTTTAATAAATAAATTTCTATAATAAAAGAATAGTATTTGCTAATGAATAGCAAATACTAGTTATAATAGTTCTAGTTCTTTAGCAGTAATTTTAAATTTTCATTCTTAATGTTAAAATATAGTATAAAGTGTATAAAGTAATGCAGAAAAGGAAGCTTTTAAGAAGATGAGCAGAAAGTTTTTTTCAAAGCACGTAGTACGTTTTAAAGTACGCAAAATGATATTAATAGGAATTAGGTAGACATAGTAAATCTTTTAGTCAAATTTCAATCAATTCACTTCAAGCACTGAATCAGAGAAAAGACGGATGAGATGAGGGAACATCCGGAAGTCGAATTATTGCCAGGATGTAGCCAATTTTGGATTATTCAAAAGACGAATAGAGAAAAAAGATAGAAAATAATCCCTAGAGATCGTTTTGATATCATTTTGGATCCATGGCTTCTCAAAAATAAAAGATTTATTCAATTTTTGAGGCAAAAAGGGGAAAAGCTTACAATTCGACGTGAAATAAGAATTCAAATCTGTATGTAGAATTGTAAAAGTTGAGATTATTTAAGCTTTGGCATTCATTCGCCTTTTAACTATATGACTAAAGCTTTTAATATACCAATTCAATAAAAAGTATAACCGTATTTTCTCTAATAGTAGTGCAACTATGAGCGTTGCCTAAATTGCTTGAAATCTCGAAAAGCGCTTATCAGAACCTATCGATTTGGGATCGGAAAATGTAGCTGATGATGAGATCTTGTGGGGATTAGAGTGTTGAGCCTCTGTGAAAACTTAGAAACCGTAAAATAGTGATCAACTCGGCTCGTGCATGGAAAACACGGTACTTACAGAGTTTCTTCAAAGCCTATTTGCTAGTTTCTAAACCTCTAGTTTCTAGTAATAATTTCTAGTTTCTAAATTGCTCGAAATCTCGAAAAGCGCTTATCAGAACTTATCGATTTGGGATCGGAAAATGTAGCTGACGATGGGATCTTATGGGGGATTTGAGTGTTGAGCTTCTGTGAAAACCTTGAAAGCCGTGAAATAGTCATCAACTCGGCTCGGTAATCAGATACAAGACCGGGCCGCCTTTTGTACCATTTCTACTAGGTCAAAAGGTTGATGGTTAAACCAAGCCAGTTCGAACTATAGATCTAGTCCCGATTTGGGCAATCTTGTATAGAAAAAAGCTAGCTCATTGTCAGTATTAGTCTCTTTCATTAGGGTATTCTTTTCGATTTTGTTAACGGAATGTTCTAATGCTCAAATGTTATAATGAACTTATAAATAAACCAATAAATTTATCAAGACAATTCGAAAGAAACTGATGATGAGATCTAGTCGGGGATTAGAGTCTTGAGCTCCTGCGAAAGCTTTAGAAGCCGTAAAATCGTGACCAACTCGGCTCGCCGGGGTGCACTACTATTAGAGAAAATACGGTATATAATAATAATAATATAAAAGCTTGCATTCAAACTTTATTAGACTTCTTAGACTTAGTTTTCCCAAAATTTAGAATATAAATCTTAAAATCTTGGATAAGAATTAAATTTTTGCTTGTCAATTTCTCAATTTTTTGGTGATGAAGGGAATTTGGATGGAAAAAAGCGTGCGTTTTCGTTTATTTTCAAATTATTTTCTCCACAAAGCAATAAAAAAAAAAGACCAATGCTAGAAAACGACAAGAAAGAGACGATTCAAAAAATTTTTGATTTAATTGGGTTAGGGAATTTTTTTTGGAGGAAATAGGCGTATTCC